ATAATGATTCTATGATTCTATGGTTCTAAGAAAGCTTCTCAACCAATACAAAGAGACACTGAACTACCTTTATTCAACATTAAAACTCATTTCTGCATTTGGACTTTTTTTAGTGCTTTGACTGACTATATTCATGAATAAAATTTTCTTTACACAGATTATATATAATTTTTTACCTTATTATGATAAAACAATAGAAATAATAGAAAAATCATCACACTTTTCATATTTCTGTTTTTCAGGTTGATCAAAAAACAACAAAATTTTTTACTTCTATCATGATCCAATATCAAAGCAAACCAAGCACCTAAAACAAGTAAAACAAGGGGGACTAAAAACATTCAAACAACAAAAAGCCCCAGATGGAGTGATCCAAATGTTATCTTGTCCTGAAAGTCTGACATGTCCAAGCTTGCATGCCTACTATCTCAAGGATGCTAAAATATGGAGAAAGAAAAAAAAGTCATACTGAATAGGAACTTGCTAACTGAGTATCATTCACCTTGAAATCTAAATGAAACAGAGACTCCGGAGAAGAACAGAAATATATGAGATCATACATTTAAATTTAATACTGAAAAACTGCAATGATTCTTGCAAAAATACATAAGGTAAGGATCTGCTACTACAAGAAATTTATGTCCAATCTGGAAAACACAGACTCAAAAGCCTTGGAAAACAGGGAATTTGTTGTCTTACCGTCTACACTCTCCTTCTGCAGTCCCTTTCCAGTCCCATTACAACTGGAGCTCAAAGCCTTTTCTCTCTCTCCTTGCCAATCTTAACTGTAGGCTGAGCCTTACACAAAAGCCCCCAGCCACTGCTCAAAGAAAAAAATTTATTACTCTAGAGTTCTCCTGACAGTCTCTTTCCAGCCTCACTCCAGCCTTGCCAACATAAGTTCTTAGAGGCAATTACTATGCTTTTCAATACATCCACTAAATATACAAATCGGGGCGGGGGGGGAGATGAGACAAATGTTTCTGCACTAAGCCAGAATCAACATCTTCTATATGAAGGCAATACCAACCTGAAACACTCTGAAAAAAACCCCAACAATTAAACGTAAGACCAAACAAAATATTCTACATTTCCCACCAATAAAAATTATTTCGAGGGGGAGAGCCTACTTGACCGTGAAGTTGGCTTAGAAATCTTCAAGGTTGAAGCAAAGGAAGGAATCAGAGAATCCATAAATTCTTCAATTTGGTTTTTATTAAAAATTTTTTAACTGAGTGTAATAAATCCATGCTGAGATTAACAAACATTTAGAAGATTAAAAAAAAAGATTTGAATTAGAGAATCTTCCTTCCCTCAGTTATCATCTCACCTGGCAAAGCAGATCATGGCTATGTATTCTTACTGCCAGAAAACCAAGCTGTAATTCAAAGCTGAATTTGTCCTATCACAGTAACTGATTCCTGCTATGGCTATGACAGCAAGATTTAAAGAAAAGAGGAAGAAAAAAATAATTTTTGCTATTAGGTCTCTTGCTCAGGACAGAGAACACGGAGATACGTACACACTACAACAAAAAAAAAAAAAAAAGAAGCAGAAAGCAACCATCTCTCTGCGTCTTTCTGCAGTAACTCTATATTCAGCTGAAGCAAACTGGAAATTGAAAATAAGGTGAAAGATTTCTTTCCTCAGACTTCCAAGTGCAATTTTATGCAATCATAAAGTAGGCATGAGGGACAGATTTCCTGCCAATTTAAACTTTAATTATAATAAGCATTTGCCTAAAAACTTGCTTTTTTACTATTATTAATCTTTACATTTCAGCAAATATGACCAGAAGTGAGATAATCTTTTTGTATCTGATATAATACTCATGCTTTATTTTAAAACGCAGTATAAATTTAACTCCCAAAGCCTGTAAGATTTGGGTGAATAGAAATCAACAAATTAACCTGCAACACCCCTGTGTTTCTCAATGCTGAATCTTCCCACAATTCTAAAAGATAATATTATAAACAAAATTCAAAAATTTGACTCTTATTTGAAACAGTATCCCTCCTCCTTTTTATTGTAATGACTTGTTCAATATAAAAAAATAATTTTATTTTTACTTGTTGCAGAGGTTTGTGAAAAGAATTAGCTTACTTGCAGCTGAACCGAGTTATCCTGAAGACCTTCTACAATAGGAGAGAATCTATCAACATTCCTTTCCTCTGCTGCTGCTGTTACAGCTTCCAAAATTTTTTCAAGGCTGAAGGAAAGAAAAGCACTTAAATCAGGAGAGATATTTAACCTTGCAGTTCATTTGTTATCTGAAGAGCCATGTTGCCAAAGTATTCACCTTCCTGGATTTCTTGTGGCATCTAGGAGGTTTAAGCATTACTTGTTTCCTTTGGAGACTTTTGTAGCCAAAGAATGACTTACTGGATTACAATGATATCTTAAGATATCTTAGAAGTAATGTTAAAAAATTTTAAGTGAAAGAATGGCTGCATAACTATTTCCATCTAGCCAGTACATCCACATGTCAAAATCACAGACAAAGGTATTCTGAAAACTGACAATATAGTACAGATACTACTTTCAAACCCAAGTTGTAAATTTTAGCATTCCGTTCAAGTATAACTATAATTTTGGATACCATAAAATTACCTTACTATTTCTGGCTAAATACAGTACTTACATGTTTTCCTCTCCAACAATGCACATTGCAGAAAGCAGTTTAACTATATCTGTCATCATGCTTGTTTGCCTGGGATCAATTGCTTTGATCAGCAACAAAAGGCTCCTCTCTTCTCCCAAAATTCTTTCCAATCCATACTAAACAATAGAAGAACAGTTGTAAGAAGAGTTGGAGGAATTCCAAATGACTGTATTGAATATCTAGTAAAAGACAGCGACAGTTCCCTCAAGTAAATATTTCAAATGACATTTAAGTCTGTCAAATACTTACTCAAAAAAATTAAATGAGAAAAGTCAAAAATGGGTCACTTATTCTGTAATAAGGGCATACAACAGCACCAAAAGTTTACACTATTCTCCAAGTATATTTCCACAGAGAGGAAGTGGCAGTAGAGAGAACTTCAAACCACAGCTGACCAACACACTGCACAGGCTTATACCCACTGATCATGTACATTATCTGATTGAACTGTAGCAATTTAGATTTCCAGATTAAATAAAATCCCATACCTTATTATTCATGAAGGCTCTCAAACACTGTATAACCTTATGCTGACTCCTCTTCACAACTTTGTCCTGGCTGAATAAATAAAAAATCTGGTGTAATTAAATGTTGTTCACATATTAAGAAAAGCTGGCAATTTTATATTAAATCATCCTTACTTTTTTGTCTCAACCAATCTTTCCAAAACATCCAACAGCAGCCCCAGACCTTCTCGGCCAAAGTTTTCAACCCAGCTAGGGAGAAAGAAAAAAGACATTTAAAAAAATTGCATTTCAAAGACTAATTAACAATGAATGAAAATTGTCAGCATAAATACAAGCAGTATAACTGGACTATTTTAAAACGCAAAATTAACTCTTTACTTAACAGAAGATCAAGAGGCTCTCCATTCACTCATTGACGCAATTAGATAACCATAAACTAAAAAAGATTTAAAAATTACAGTAGCCATTAAATTTAGTAATTTTAATTTTTAAATTAACAATTATACATTCTTTGGCACAGAACTGTAATTAAAAAACCCTTGCAAGGGAAAGGAAGAAAAACAATAAATTTCTACCAGACACTGTTCTAGGGTCTCCTGGAAAGGTCAGTATCTAACCATAAGTGTCACAGAAGGAAGGAAAAGCCTAAAGGAACTACAGAAGTGGCTGCCTGTGACATTAATCCATAGGAACATCTCCAAGCAAACACAACAAAAAATTAAGATTTCAGCTATTGCCAAAGCTATCTTTTGGTGAGGTTAAACCTCAGTATGTTGTTTTTACATGACAGATCTGCTTCACAGTCCTGTTTACTATTGCTCAAAACTGCTTGATATCAAATATAAGTAACTGCATGACCGACAGCAGTACTGCAGCCATCTCTTTGATAGTAGCTGTTGGTCTTGCAGAAACTATGATGTTTCGTCAATTACCTAAACCCTAAAGTTCATGGACAACACTGTCATTCATAGTCATAACAGAAGGAATATTTTGCTCCTTAGACTTCGTTGTCTGTGTAAGGCACAGATATTTTAAACTCCAAACTTCCAACAAAATCCCACTGGAGGAAGAAGTTGGCTGCAGAGGCAACAAATATACATATACAGCAGAGAAATTGTAGAGACTATTTGCTCAGGAAATTCCTTTCATAAAGAGTGAAATTATAATATTCAATTATGGAATGAATTCACAAGTACTTCAATACTCTTTCCGTAAGAGGTAGGAATGGTTCCTGACACCTTTAGTCAACTTTCCATGCTACTGCATGGACAAGTCCTTTGACCTCTTATTACTGTCTTTGGCCAACAAGACAGAAAATTATTTCATAATGGGTATCTCTTCCATACATTTCCCCATTTTTAAATTAGCATATTACTTTTATCTATTAACTGATTACAAAATCATCTCTCTTTAGAACAGATATAGTTAGCATGATAAGTATGTAATACTTTTCACCATCTTCATCATCAAAACATGGATTCTACTGTGGGTGTGGTACCAATATTTTCTGCGCATTCTTTAAATTATTACTTAAAAAAAGCTTAACCTGAGGAAATCTCTTGTCATGTATTAACAAAATAAAGTCTTTTATGTAAAAAGGAAGCATCCATTCTGAACATCAGAAGTTCAACATCAAGATGTTAATCAGAATTAGTAAAAAAATTACAACGTTCACTTTACTTGTATTATAGCCTCTCCATTGTTTTCTCTGCTTTGTCTATTTACACAGCATCGTAAACATTGAGGAAAATTTATTTATCACCACTTTTGATTAGTAACCAGAATATTTAGATACTCCTATAATAGTAGGATCTTACTAGTGACAAGTAATAAGCTATTCTGTTGGAAATAACACAAGGGAGATGCAATAGCTCTTTTGAAATGCATAGTATTTCCAGTTCCATCATAGGATGGGATTAAACAGTTCTTCATAACCGCTAGATACAGAACTGTAATGGACTTAAATTATAGGAAGAGAAAAACAGATCAGATGTTTTTACATGTTTTTCCCCTAAAAGTAAATATATATGAAAATAGATTTTCTCCTTCCTGGATGGGTGTCGTTCTGAAACAGATTAGGCAAATAACTGTCAATTGGTTTTGGTATAACTGGCCACATGTGACCTAAAGATGATCCTACTAGACATTTCTTAGCACTTTTTGTATTAGAATTGTGCGCAACCACTTTGTCATACATCCAGCAACTGAAGATGCTGAGAATGATCAAGTGCCTAAAATACTGTTGCATTATTACTGCCCTTTCCTCTGCCTCCACAAAAGAACAAAGACTACTTAAACTACCCAGAGCAAACACTCAGCTTTTTGGCAGTCTGACAAAACACCAAGCTATCAGTGCCCTTATTTTCAATTTATTAAAAATGTCTTCTCAATGAAAAGAGCTAAAGCTGTTGCAACAATTATCCAAAAGAAGAAGAAATAGTTGTAGATAACTATTTATCTGTAATACTACATACAGGTAGATCACTGAACCACTTTTGATGAATTGTGTTGGCAACTGTGAGGTAAAAACACCCCCATTTATTCACCTGAAGAATAGTGACCAAGATCAGTGGATACATTTTCCTTTTGACGCTTTCTTTTTATATTGATGGAAAATAATTACTTTTTTCAGTAAGCCATAGATTTCAACACATTTTTCTAAGTACTAGGATCAAACTACTCTATATCACTTGATTCAGATTTTCTCTATAAACTAAAAATATATTCTACAAAAATTATTAACTGAAAACAATGTTGTAGAACTAGTTCTTGCGTGAGAAACTGAAATGTCAACAAGATTAAAAAGTTAAGTTGATTAAAACATAGTAATTGGAAAAACAGAAAAGAAACCCCACTAAATTATATATTGTCAAAAAGATGACAGCCCACAAATGTGAAGATTGTCAGGCTAGATCAAATCTAAATTTAATTCTCATCCTGTTAAAAAAAGCACAAATTTATTCTTGGGCATGGTACATGCACAAAATAAAACCCCAAAGTTTCATCAGTTATTTATCATTGTCCATATCATACGAAGCTGGAATTAAAAATAATCATGCATTTATAGCAGTTGGACTGGAGTTCAGTATTTATGTGTCAAAACAAGTTCTTACTCAAAGATCTGGCTGCTGGTAGGAAAATCAAGGTCACCAATATCTGCATCCAATGAATATCAACTGTTGCTACTCACAAGAAAGAAGGGGATGTGGTTTACATCACAAATTTTTAGTATGAAGAACAGTGTGCTGCTGTTACATTTCTGCTATTTTTGTATATAAGCCCTAAAGAAGAACTTAGGTTTTTATGAAGGCTATTTTAAAATGCTCTGTTTAAGCCCAGTGAGGTCTATCTTAACAGTCTTTTTCAGCACTTCTCAATACACCAGAAGGCTGTTTCAGAACCCGTATGTTCTATTGGTTGTGATCCTTCTTTTGGTTTGTAGACTAAAATGCATTCATGGACAAGTAGTAGAGATTTTTTTTTTTATGGAACTACCACCTACTTAAATAACTCTTCTCTGGTGTTTTTGCCAGCCACAGTCATTTTCCTTCCAATTCAAACATCTCAAACTCAGACCTATTCTCAGGCCATACATCCATTAACTTAATTATGAGTTTCACTCCAATCCAAGCATTAGAGTTCTTTTATGTCCTCTTACATTCTGCTTAATGTTTCAAATTGACCATAATTTATTAAAATTTAACTTCAAGTTAGTACTTAAAATTCAACTGTCAAATTTTCTATTTGCCATAGTTGATATTTGACTGAACAAAGTTAAAGCTGCTGCTGCAATCTAGAACTATTTGTACCAATAAGTTAAAGAAACTAATCTCTCAAAAGTATCAATGCAATACTTTATCAACAATGCATCATACCCTTCTAGCACGTTTTGAAGGATTGACATGAAACACACTAAGCTTATGAAAATGAAAACATTTGTTTTTTCCATTTCTCCATGCACAAAAGCACTTGCTCTTTTTCCCTGTACTCCTAACATATATCTACAGATTTTTAACTTTCCTTACTTAAAGTGAAGTGTCTGTGGAAAACCTACTTAGTCCAAAATTTCATAATATTTAGTTGCTGTAAAACTTCTAAGTTTCTGTACTTTGTTCTTCCAGATAATACTGATCACCAGACTTTTGGTATTGAGCAGATGCTCTACTACAACATCATAGTCCAAGTACAGACCAACATTGTTCTTTCATAGTTGGCCTCCACATTCCTTATTCTGATATCATTTCTCCATCTTTCTCACCCCTTCGTGTCCTATCACATTGTACTGTGCTGTCAGGCAGACCTAGCACCTCTCCAAGATCATGGTTTTTCATTTGTTTTGACTTCGTTTTGGTTTTTTGGGGGTTTTTTTTTGGTTTTTTTTGTTTTTTTTGTGTGTGTGGTTTTGTTTGTTTGGTTTGGTTTTGGGTTTTGGGGTTTTTTTGGGGGGGAGGGGGATTAACTTTTCTCTTAGTGTGTGGGAAAGGGGTAGCAAAGGGGATCACATACAAAAAGACAAAACTATCCAGTCATATCAATAACAGAGAGGAGAGGTTGCTCTAAATTTCAGTTGTCACACATTTACACATTTCATACATTTTACGTCTCTATTTCCAGACACATACTAACAAGCAAAGTTTCCTTTGTTAAATTAATGTAAGTGTAAATAATAAAAAAAAAAAGTCTCTATGGTTGTGAGTTGTTATTTTTTTCTTAAATAAAGAAGGAGAAGCAATACTATATCTAAAACTAGCTTCACATTCATGAAGGAAGTATATCTTCTGTAAAATCCTCTGTCAGAAGAACTCAGGTTAATGTAAAGCATGTGAACCATTATATATTCTAAATAAGACAATCCAATTAAAAAATAAATTAATAGAAGGAAAGAAGCAAACACCCATAAGGAAGACCCACATCAACAACTCTGCCAAGCCAGATGCAGAAAGAAGAAAGTTGTCTAATCCTTTTTTAATCACGCCCCATCATAAGCACCCCCAACATTTCATTTGCAGTATTTTGAACTAAACCCAAAACAGTTTCCCAAAATCATGTGTTCAACCATTGGTTTAAATAGGAGCTCTAAAACAAAAGGTTGTAAATAGAGTAGAATAGAAAAAAATATAATTTAATAAAATAAAGCCAGCATCCACAAATCAAGCTGTACGGATCAAACAGAAATTAGAGACTGATACCAGTGTTAGAGTTATGTTTACTGAAGAGTTAGCCTTTTTTAAAAAAAAGCACAGGTAAACTAACTTTGGCCTCTCTTCTGTACAGCTAAACCCCACAGATACAGCAGAAATTACTAGAAGGCAGCAAGGAAGAAAGACTAAAGTACACTGGACAGAAGGAGGAGCATACAATTAAAATATGTATGCTTTCTGGCTAGTAAAATTACACCAAAGTGCCTATCTCCAATTACTGATCACCCTGACAAAGCAAGTTAAAAGATTAAAAAGTTAAGAGAATATTTCAAAAATAAAAATGAAAAAATAAACTTTTGACTATTTAGCGCTAGAAACAAAGTGAACTGCTCTGTACTACATTTCTTTAACATTATCTTAGCATTACCTTGTACAGATCAGCAAATTCTACTGAAAAATAGATCTACAGAAGATATATAATCAATGAAAAAAAGAGAAAAAAGGTATAATCATTCACTAATGCATACACACTTATTAACTGGAAAACCTTGAAACATGCACATCTACAGCTCCATTAATTTTAATCCATTAAGAAATAAGAATATGATTAATCTTTGTAATATGTGTTCATGATGTTACCTGACAGGATTACTAGTCAAGGACACACGGAGAGATTCTAAGCAAGTGACCAGTCTTTCATCTGTCGACCCAGATTTTAATTCCTGAATAAATTCTTGGGGTGAAATCTTCCGACTATTCTTGAGACTTCCCTGAAATACAGAAAACATATTCATTTTTTATTTGGCACATACAGAACTTGAATAGATTACGAATGGCTAACCTTCATTTCTGTTCCTTGAAAAAAAAGATATAATTTAGTCCCAAACCTGTAATTCTTTGTTGTCCACAACAGACAAAAAAACCCCAAACCATAACAATAAATGCTCCAACAGACAAAAAGAAACTCAGTGTTTTCAGCTTTCTTTCATGGTCTGTGTTTGCTTCATAACCACATACTTCTCAAGTCAGAAAGGCCCTACAGCAAGGGAACTTACTTTAACCTCTTCAGATATTCTCTGGGTCCAAGAGTTTAACAGACTGCATTTGTAATGTCAGGAACAGAACACCACCTCCTCAAAAAACATCTAGTTGGCAAACTTATTCCATAAACAATTTACACTTCTCACCAAGATGGTGTACCTGCTTGCACTTTCATAGGGCAAGAAAGCGCAGCTCCCCTACAGCTTTGACACAGCTATACCCAAAGAGGAATGAAAAAACAACTGGAGAGTCTCCAAGCCAAATGCAGAAGATCCTAAACAAAACAAAAAAGGATTCATTACATTAAGAACTAAGTATCAGACTTGATAAAGCATGGAAGGTAAAAGCTACTACACCATCAGTTGCCCAAACTCACTGGCTAAGGGGAACTGGTGACAAGGGTTTCTGCCTGGTTATTCAAGAGCTTATATAGTGAGCACATCCGTCCTGTTAAAATAATCCCCAAACATTTTAAGATTAGACAATATTCCCCTGAGGCACAATCAGGGGAATTTTAGTTACAGGGGATCAGGGCCACGCCTGTATGCACATGCAGCACATGTAGTTTCCCGCGCAATCCTAGACCTTTCCAGCTGTTCTCTGCATAGATGAGATAAGGGACTGACTAGAAACAAGATGGCCAAACTCCTAGCAGCCTTCCTGACAAAGTATTTAACTAAATGTTACAGGAGGTCTCCAGTTGGAAATTTCAAAAAATCCCAGAAATTCTCCTGGCAGCATCCCCTGCTGTGCATAGACTAGTTGATAAGCACTACTTGTATGCCTGAGCATATGGATTAATATCCTGGGTGGAAAATCTGTCATTTCCAGTGACTTCCCCCAGCAGTTCCTGCTGTAAAAATTGACGAAGCTGGATATACTTTTAAATAGTTAGTAAAATTGCTCTCTCCTGATGCAGTCAAACAGTCATATAGGACAGTCATATGGACAAAACATATAGATAAGATGGTTAGAAGATGTTTTGGAAGTAATTTAATATAATCAATAGGTATGTGTGCAGTGGAAAGCTCACATGGGACAAGAGCCCAGCCAGACTTTAAGAATTCACTAGAATGACATTTTAGAGAGTCTCATCTGATCCATCTGAAGACAGTGTCAGAAGCAATGGAGACTCACACCAACATCGAGACAGTAAATAGTCATCCAATTTCAGACACAGTTCCCCACCTGAACATTACCCTATGCAAAAGATGCCAATCAACTGTGAAAGTCTGTACAACATACCCACAGTACCAAGTACCACTTATTCATAGTTATGCCAAGGTTCTGCAACGTAATAAGAACATGATACATCTGCCAGTGCTTAAATAAAATGAGAGCTGCATTTGGTACCGATTGTGAAACTGATTATATTAGCTATATTTCAGCATGGGAAAAGCTGCTTAAGTTCAAAATGCTCGAGCTAACTGAGAAACAGGAAATATCTTGAGGCATCAGTGCCTCTAGAAATTTAATTGCTCAACTGAAGAACAACTGGTCTGTGAGCAGATGCAGTATGAAGTCAGCATTAATTAATTCAGTTAAAACATTACAAGGGAGCAAGCTGCACAACCAAAACGAAATCTTGTGAAGAAAACTCACTTTAAAAACCGAGTCTGTGTGTGTTCAACATACAGAACAGCAAAACTTATGGTAGAGTAACATTATAGCAATGCTGCTTTTATTTCCACTTGAGTATTAACTCCATAACATGGAAACTGATTTTTAAAACTTTTCTGGGCTGGAATATCTTTGTATATGTTTATATAGCACTTTAAAATGTGACACTGTTTCTAACCTCAAATAATCATAATATATACAACCAGCTACAAAAACACGGAAGATACATTGGACATAACAATCTCTAACAACAAACAGAACCACACTGCTTTTGGTAGATGAGAATTCACATTACCATAATAGCCTTTAAACACAACTGTTGTTCCTTTCTCCAACTGTTTCCTATCAAATAAGACATGACACCACAGCAGACAGAAATTTCATTCAAGATTTCCAAGACATGATGGTTTAAACAACATGTGATATACATCTCTAAGATGATGTTTTTAAGGGAAGAAATAAGACTTCATCTAAACACTATACGTTACAAGAAAAGAAGAAAGTACTAGCAGAATACTGAAGTACTTGAACAGAATTCTTCCAAGCATACAATTTTTGCTGTCATTCAAATTTTCAGTAAGTACTACTAGTATCCCAAACCCCAAGACTGTTTATTCTTAGCAATTCTTCTACAGAGAGCCATTGAACACGTTATGAAGAGCGATGTAACAGCATACTTAGACAAATATACACAGACATATATACAGAGGTATGCTTCTAGCCAACTGTTTAAAAAATCTCTAAGCAAAGTGGAGTGAAATGAATGAGTATTGGACAATGCATGTCAGTAGAACTCTGGTTACTTTTAAGTAACTTTGAGTCCTTAAGTGACGGATTCATTCTAAACATCTCACACATACACAGAGGTAGGTTACAGTATTCTATACATAAAGAAGTTCCTGAGCACAGCGCCACCAAACCCAGCATAATTTCTAAATGCATCAGTAACAGAGATGTGCATTGTGAATACTGGAAAGTAGTGCATTTCTAAGAAACAGAAACCCTCATACTGAGGCCAATGGTGAAGCTTTGACTATAGTGGAGTCCACTTTGATCATCAGAGGCTGCTTCATTTTCAGTGATTCATTAGAAGTGCAGCCTCTGTTCTTCTACTGTAACAGTCTTTATAATGATTACTGCTTTAAATGAAACCTGCTCGGTACTCTCCATAGCAGTTGCAAATGAGGATATTTGTTCCAAAACAATACAGCTTAGTACCTGTCTCCTTAAAGTTTGAGAAGTATGAACTATCAAAATATGTTACTGCAGTATGACTCATAGAAGGAGAGACCTGAGATGGGATTAGTTGTACATAAAAGTCAGGAGCTCTATGGTGCTTCAGCTCTTCTGAAAAAGCACGACACTCATCAAGTCAAGGTATGCCAAAAATTTAGCCAAGTGCCGTGGGCATGCAGTGCACTACTCTCTCTAGACTGAGAAGGCACTCAGCACTCTAACAAACACACTTCAGGCATGAAAGAGCATGCCAGGAACAAAGAATTTGCAAGAGCAAGGGAAGGATTTTCCCATACCAGTACCTCCAGCACTAAGTTGAATTCATCTGCAGCACTACTGTATCAAATAGCTGAATCCATGCATTACAGAAACAGCTCCTCCCAGTTACACAACAGGCAAATGCCACTTCCAGTAAGGAGATAACAGTAGAAACTGAGTTCAGTAAAGACAAGTTTCCCCTGCATGAATTAGTCTTCAGCGACCTCCCACAGCAGAAAGGGGAATACATGGGCTGGCAGCAGAGGAGGGGAACAAAGGAAAAAATGCTGTTGGAGGCTTTATGAAAACATGCAAGACAACAGTGTGTGGGAACAAATCACTACCCTGGGGGAGGAAACAGACCTATCCTCTTCAATAGAGTATCTTGTATGGCTGCTTTGGGTACAGTGCAAGAAGCTCCATTGCTAAAAAACAAGTGTGATGACAATTAAAAAAAAAAAATGTTTATTGCAAATGGCATTCAAAGAAGGATCAATGAAACCTACTCTGCTATAGACTTCAGTTCTTTGCAAGTATTAAGTGCCAGGAAGTAAAAACATGAAAACCTTTCTCTTGAGTCTTATCATCATCATCAGGATTCTAAGATTCCAGCAACAGATGTGGCTGCAACAACTCTGTACAGCCAGCCATGTCCTATTATGACATTACTTTTTAGATCAAACTACTGAGGTCTTAGAATGCACGTGGAAGCTAGAGATGTCAATGACATAATAAACCTTCACATGCCATTTTGGGTTGAGAAACTTCAGGAATGTTGTTAGATTTACTAGCCTGAAGTTTCCTGATTTCCCATGAAATATCTCTAAGAAAGAAAAACAGGCTAGATCTCCTAATCCTCTGGTACTAAGGAACTTTCATGCTATAGAAGGACCAGTAGCTTTGATAAGCTCATCTTAAATAAAACAATCTCCAGACAGGCTGGTCCTGCACTAGGCATCTACCTTCCTAAAAGTGCTAAAGCATTACACTAATAAGGTACATCATTTAAAGTAGACAATAAAGTAAATAACTCATTTAAATTACTATATTTAATGTCTTCTTTTCTCAGTATTTAGTTGTAATTACATATGGGCAATTTTTACTGATATCTCCATATGCATGGAGCAGTGAGAGTCAGAGTCAAATAAATGAATTTTAAAACAATCAAAAGGTCTGAGGACAATATTAGCACTGCAGGATTTAGCACTAGAGTCTGTCCCCACTTTGCAAAACCTAAGTAGGTTTTCTTATGCCAATTTAATCCTTAAACTGCTCAGTACACAACTCCTTGCACTTCTCTAAAACAACCAGTAATTATCCCTGTAAGTAAAAAACAGACACTAATTGGGTTCACATGCAACACTTCTGTTATCAACTATTACACAGCATCACAACATGAATTCCGTACTGAAGTCAAGGATGAAAAAGACTAATCAGTTGAGGAATTCTCTTTAAACAGTGCTAGGAAAAAAAAAAAAAAAAAGGTTCACATCAAACTTTTCCGAGTTTTCTGCAGAATCTTTCCATCTCCACTACAGCAATACCTTTACCAAAAAGAAATGCTGTTCTGTGTACAGAAGATACATCTCATGAACACACGAATATCTTTCATTGCGGCTTGTAAAATGAGATAGTGCCCTTTAAAAATGTTTGTGTCTATGAGAAATAAAAGTTAGTGAAAAGAATGTAACCTGCATGCACTGCTTTTTCTCTCCAATAGGACATAATGTAAACATTAAGTCATTTTTGGTGTACTTCAGAGAAATTTACTTACAGACTTGGAAGCAGTGGTAATATATTGCATCACCATTTCTTTTTTGGTATTAAAATCCTTTTCTCTCAATGGCATCTTCTTGTCTTCATTTAAATTCATATCTTCCTAGAATGGGAGAAAACAAAGAAAAAAAAAATTTAAATGTCATCCAGCAACACAGTTGTTCAACTATAAGAGACTGATTTAAAAAAATAAAGACATAAAAATATGGACATGAGCAATTGAAAGCTGTTATACAAACAATTCTTCATAAGTTAGATGCTACTCAAAACCATAAAAATTTTTATTCATCTTCCCTAGCAACTCAGACTAAAAATAAAAAGAAAAAAAAAGCAACAAAAAACAACCCAGTCAATTATGCCAGGATAAACAAGAACATCACAACCATTACCAGCATAATCTCTTCTTAGAAATCACCTAGTTTCACAAACACACACATGTACTAAACTACAGCATTATTTAACACTTCCTAAAACATTTATAAATGTACTTAAACCAGTCTCTTGGAAAGATCTTTAGAAAGATATGTCCATTTGTTCTATAATTCTGTTCTTCAGTTCCCAAATTCTTAATCCTGAGCATTAAAATCTGCTTTGCACTGGGAGTAGTTCACAAAATAATATTCACCTTTGTAATAGGTAAGGCCCAGATTCTTGACGATTTTATCACTAAATCAACTCCTTCAACTGTTATCAAAATTCCATCAATTCATTCATTCCAACATAAACCCAGAGGTCAAAAAGAGTAGATGCAGGACTACATTTAAAGCCACACAGCAGCTATTCATTGACATTTCTGACACAGGGACTTCTGTTCCAGCCTAGAAATGCACTGATTGGTGTAATCAGTCCCACATCTGTGAAAAATGACATTTCCTATCAAGCTGCAGGTAATAAAAAAAAGGCTTTAAGAAATTATTTACACGCACACACACACATACGAGCACACACAGCATTACTATGGTCACCCAAGCTTAGCAAGAATTACTGTAGTTATTTTCAGCTGAGACTCACGAGGTGAATCCTGACCAGCTTTGGCAGGAGCAATGCTACAAAATCAGTGTGTGACCATCTTGATATCAAAGCTATTTCACCTAGTCAGAAATCAAAGACAAACAGCAAGCAAACTCATAACCTTAGAATTTTAAGACAAAAAAACCTAAAGATCAAAATTTTATACCACACTGAAACTTAAGTTTCCTTGTCTTTTGCTAGTTTTCATATTGAATAAGATAGAATCAAGCACAGTTCCTAGAAACATTTAGAGTTTTGAACAAAACCGAGATATGAGAAGACATTCCAGAAAATGTTTGACCTCTTAAGTTGAACTTCTTCAAAGTATAATTAGGGCAATTTTGTGTAGATTCTGGATTTTTTTCCCCCCACAAATGTTACTGTTTCCTTTCCTTAAGGACTATAAAAAGTTCCTCACTTCAGTCTAGTATGCATTTAAATTATTACTTGTTATTTATTAAATTAGTATTTTGATTATTTATTTGATACTATATAGTGTATTTATAATATCATATTTGTATAATTGATTTTATATATACAATATATTATTATTTGATATTTTTAGCATCAAATAAATACAGACTGCATGTTGTAGAAAGTTCTCTCAATATATTAAAGCAATAATAATATAGTGTTTTGCCTCCTTGACAGGTAGCTTCCAGACTGGTGTTACTTGCTACAAATGAAAGTAAATGCAACACAACGTTGCCTAAACAAGCCGGAAGAAAGGAGGCCACACATACTTCGATCTTTTCTCATAGTTCTGTTATTCAAAATATTGCATTCTTTTGATCAAAAAATTCATAGAGAAATTATTTGCTTATGCCCAAACCAAAATTCTAGCAGTGCATAAGGACAGACATATTCCTGAATATTTTGCAAGTTGCCTTATACTAAATGAAATGTCAAGGGCATTATCTTGAAAAGGCATGCTGCATTTTCTAGCTGTTCTTGGATGAAAGCAAACAAGAAACTACTATGATTTGCTTAATGATGGGAAACCTGGTGTGATCTAAAAATGCTGCACAAACTCAAATATCCATACTAAAATAAAATAAAAAAAAAAACCAACACAAAACACCCACACACCACACCACAGGCTTAAATACACATACATTACAAACACTGATGGCATCATGCATTATATGCAAAGAGATCATTTACTTCCAAGACATATAAAAAAGTGGAAAATTTTTTTGTGTGTATACATCATTCGGAAAAAAAAGTGAAAGATACTCAAAGTTACCTGTCTCTATCAAAGATTTAAAAAGTCACTGTAGCTATTTTAAGATGAGGAAAACACATAAATCAACCACAAAAAGTAGTGTCTTTAGTATTTCAGAATCAAAAACCTAAAGTAACCATCTGCTCAAAGGAAGAGTATATGAAGGCTGTTAAGCATACTGCTAAGTGGTCAGGTGGAAACCTAAAAATTTAAACCAGTTACACAACAAATCAATCTAAATATTTTAATTTACTGGTCAACAGTTTAGCAGTTAATTACATAACTAGCCAGGACTTTTACAATTCATCAATGAATTCTGACATTGATATGTGGCTTTGGACATAAAGATTTGGGGACTTCTAAAAAGCATTTAAAATAAGAACAGATAAGGAAGTTCTTTTCAGTTTACTTTAAATATTTTTCAATAACAATTCTTTCAAAGCCAGAAAAATACTACAACTTTAAATTCTCAACAACTGCTCAAAAATCTTTACGTCCTAAGACAGGTCCTTAGCTTAAAAATGGGGGGGGGTCAAAATCAAGTCAGAATGCGAAAAATACTACAATGTTAGTACTCCCTCTAGCCTTTCATTTGTTATCTTATCTTGTTACAAGTATTTCTCATTTTATGTAATATTTACATTTCATTAATTAATTAAATACACAACATTTATGACTATTCTTATTACCAGGCAGCACTTCTGTTGAGATACGCACATGACAATCCATACTATAAATCACTAAAATCAAGTCTAGTTTGACATCACCAGATAAACTTGTTTTTTTCTGCAAGTTCCAATAAATGTCTTTGGACCACTGTACCTCAGGATTCCTTTCCATAGAGATATAATTGTATAGCAATACTGACTTCAAATGAAAATATACCTTACATGCATATTTAATACAAGTAGCTGTATTTTATTTAATACTTAAAATGTATTTTTTACAGTGTAATAACACTGAAACCAAAGTATTCTATTTTAAGTTTCACAAAAATATATGGCTAGGTTTTTCTCGATGTTTTCTAAGAGTTATCAAATCTTCATTACTTTACCTGCAATATGCCAGAGGTTTTTTTTTCATGAACAAAAAAAAAAAAAAAAAAAAAAAGGTTTTTACATTAGCCTATAGCTACTGCAAAGTTCATTCTTCTGTTTAAAGCAGTTTTGCACTTCTTTCAGACTTGCTCTTTTAAGTTTTCTGAAAAATAACTTCTGAATTTAAACAACAAAGAGAAAACAAAGCACTTGTGTTTTGTAACAGCAGGTTTATTTACAGGAGATATTCTGTCTCTGTAGTAAAAAGTAATTTCTTTGTTGTTGTTTTTCACAAATCAAACACCATTAAAGCAATTGATTTATACAGATTAGAAGTATTCAGCAGTACAAGGGGCACGTCAGATGTGGCTTAGTTTATAAAATACTTCAACCTCATTCTTTTATTTCTTTTTAAATCATTTAAAGTTATTGTACAGGGGAGCAATACCTCATTGGAAAATAAGAATAAGTCATTTCCCATGAATATTTTCCTAATAGCACTAACAAAATGAAAGGAGCTAAATGACAGTTAATTATTAGCTTTAATTGTCTGGTTTTACAAGTTCTTCCAAAATTTTTGCCATCAAAACCACACAGGGTGCCACTGCATAAAAGACTGGAAGAAGAAAGCTGTATGCATCCAGGAAAGCACAAAGTATAATGTAAAGCATTCAGTGAAATTTCAGAATTTAGAAACTGCTCCCTTCAGTACTAACCAATTGACTATTTTTATTTCGTGCAAAATTAGCTCTAAAAGCCTGGCTATGACATTAAAATTGTTCACTACTCCACCCCCACAAATCACTTAATTTGATCAGAACAGCAAACTAGAGACTACAATATATCATTAGCCATGTAATCTACTGAGACTAAACTAGCTTTATTCCAGTCCATTCAAGTGTGGATAATCTGAAGAATCCTTTCAGTATTACATGTTATAGCTAAAATAACACTGATAGTTTATCAGAGACAGTTTAAGTGCTTTGCTATTCCACAAAACTAGGAAAGCATTCAAATTATCCAGTATGTCATCATTACTTTAACATATTTTTGCAAAGTAGTTATAAAATTGGAATTAATTTCTTCAGGATCCATGCATAAAAGCATTTCTGTTTACCTAGACACACAGTAGTAGGTTTCTGAGGATTTATTGAAAGTTTCTGGGTTTTATGGTATAGTCTCAACTTCACACACTATCCTATACCAGAATCTCAGTGGGATGGTAGAGAAACACAACAAACATTTACATAGCGGGGAGGGGGGATGTGTGTGCAGGGAGACATACCTTTAAGTTTTATGAAAAGAACTCTCCTATTTCCTAACATTTGAGGAACTACCACTCACAGTGAAATTTCTTAACAAGCAAAATATCCTAGCCACTGAGGTATATCAAGAAAAATGAACCATGTGAGAACAAATACAGATACAGAAGTTGATAACACAGTAAATTAGTCCTTCCCTTCATCAACTTTACCATGAAAATCCTGAATCCTGTATGTCAGTCACAGCTCTCAACAGTTCTACAAAAGCATCTTCAAAACTAAACTAACATTATTGAGTAGTAGGAATTACAAATTCTATAAAGGTACTTCTCTCATAGCACATTTCATTTCCTCCACACGCCAGCCACTGGTAGTCTTTATGTATTTCAAGAGTTACTTGTTACCTGCTGCGAGGCAGAAAAAGAAATAATAATCTAGGTATCACTCCCCTTGTTAATGTCCTCTTGTGCTCTTCAGATTGCAGTCACTCTCTTCTCTTGTGGCCATTCCATGTTTAGTTTTCAATTGCCCAAAATGTCGTCATCATCATGATGACAAAAAGCCTCAGCCTATTGAGGTGGTACCAATGCCACATGATCTTTCCAGCAAGCAACTGCTCTTCTGTAGCACAGTAACTATGACAGCTAAGGAAGGAAGTAAATTTGAAACTGCATGTGCAACAAATGCTTCTTTGGAGGCAAGAATCTTAAGTCTTTTTTGTGCAAGACTGACATTGAATATAAGTTCAGAACAAAACCCTGTTGTGACATTAAAAGGCATAAAATCCCTTTGTAAAAGTTTCACGTTGTCTCAAAAGCAAGCAGGATTCCCCATTTCTTGTTCCTCCTCAAAATCTCTTGCATAGTCTCACTTCTAATAATCAGAAACCTTTAGTTCCCATTTTAAATATATTTGGAGCAAAATCTTGTTACAATAATTCAAGGACTTCATCCTATGAGAAACACCATAAAAACCACATAATTACAACTCCCAACAACAATATTAATAATTCAGGTAAAGATCAGAACACACACACAAAAGAAGGCTCCTCCTGTCAGCCATGTTGTCATCCTTTAAGTTAAAGAAATCAGCGTAAGACTCTTACCATCATTTTTTCAAACAGCGCTATGATTTCTCTTTCCGACAGGGGTTTTGGAGCAAAATCCTCTCCTTCCATAGGCATGGATGACCAATCTGTAGAATGTGACTGCTTCATACGTGGTAGAGGAGGTCTTTCCTTTTTACTTCCTGGAATTCTTATACTGGCAAATCTATCCAACTGAAAACAGAAGAGGTATAACATATCACATACTGTTTCCATTCCACGTAACCCTAACTAAGATGGGTATTCTTGGAAGCTAAACATCCTTATTTTTCTGTGGTAACTTGCCTGTTATTTAATTGTCTTCTTTTAAGGAGTTTTCTTAAAGATATGTATAACGTTCAGTTGCCTTCACATTTGAGTTAACAGACCAGAATCCCATTACATTATAGAGAAATCATGAAGAACATGAGAATTTTACAGAAAGTTTGGAGGAAGAGATACCTACAAAACCAATTTATGAAGAGTTCTTCCCAACCATTACACGTAGAATATAAAAAAAAGCAAGCTTATTTACTTTAAAAAGCATAGTTTTAAAATGGTTTTTGTTACACCGAAACAGCTGTACACCTGACATTGTAATAGAATATACAGATATGCAAAAAAACCTACTTTTTATTAAAAGACAAGTTAGCATAACTAAGACACTGTTCTATTTACTTTTTATTTGCACTATGTTATCCAAAACTTAGTGCCCTTCTGTGCTCCAATTATTTAGAAATTCATTTAGGAGAAGCATAAAAATCACGAGTTCCTTTAATAAAGCTAAGTAGGACACACTCATTGTTCTGTGAATAATCCTTAGGACTTATCACCAACATGAGACAATCGCTCTGACTTTATCCTTTCAAGAGCCACAAAAAAAACTTCTTTGGAAAAGTGGTTTCGGTTGTGGAGTTTTTTTACTCGTTAGATATTGATCAACTTTTCAATAAAGACTAAGTGAAATTTTAAACATTTTAATTGTTAGAGCTTGTATTTTTTAATGTATATGGGCAAGGACCAACAGAACACAAAAGCAGCCAACATACTCAATGAGATGCACTAAATCTTAATCATATTTGTAGCAGCCTTTTGAACAGATGTGAACAGCAATATTACATTTGTCAACACAGAAGAAAGTTACGGTAGCATTTGATGCATAAGAGATTTTGGACAAGATTTCAACCATATCAATAGACTTACATCTTTAAAATGCTATCCAAAAATATTCCGAGGCTTCAATATATCTTGAAGATAAGTATCTTGAGATATCACTTAATAAGTACATCAAAGTTACCAAGCTAAATTACAAGTAAAGTTATTATAGCATCTGTGGAATTGAGATCAGAGAGAGCAAAGAAAATTAGTAGCAAAAATTGAGTACCAGTGTTCCACTCCAGTTAGAGCAAGAATTGACTATTAGACATCCATGAAGAAAGGTTTAGTGGAAACACGAAAAGACTTTAATTCTTGCTGTTAAAAATTGAAAAGGAACAGGTTTTGGAACACAGAAATAGATTGTAAGCCCCTTACATACAGATGGTTATAGATGAACAAAAAGCAGAAAATTTATATAGCATATATAACAGAAACATAAAAGAGCTCAGCATGGACGATAGGGCCCTTTAGTGTCACATCAAACCAGCAGACAATGAGGAAAGCACACTCTACAGGAATAATTACATAGGCAAGACTCAGGAAGAAAGAGAATGCAACAAAAGCAAAATGGAGGGTAACATCTTTGGAAGTGTAGTACAAGAGTCAACAGTGCCAAAAACCATCTTACATCTTGACCAGATGACAATTTCCTTTCCTGCCTTTAAAATGAGAAGTCTACGGTAAGCATGGGAGGGATGAAGCCAGATTGTAAACTGCAATGACTAGACTAGAATCTTTAAAAAAATCATATTATATGAGATTTTTCTTCTCAAACAATGGCTTTCACAGAGCACTGATGAAAGGCAGCACACCTGCTCCAAAGAATGAGTTAGTCAGTAGCTTCCCCATGCCCTACTGTTCATTATCAAGTGTGTAACCTAAGGAAAAAAACATTATATTTGAAGATTTTTCACAAACAGACTTGAAGCAGGGATAGAGGGAAGACACTTTGGCTGAAATAACAGATTTCAGCCCACGGTTAAGTTAGCAGAGAATTGACTAAATCAGGTTTAAGAGAGGTGTGCCCTACACTCCTTATCCCATCTCTCCTGAAAAATCTCAGCCCCCTCCTTACAGTCTGTGTTCCCCAAGCATCCCCTCTTCCTTCCCCGGCTTCACACAGCAGCAGCAATAGCAGTTCTGGCCAGGCAGAGCCACCCTAGTCTCTGCCACGAAACACCCCATGCCATCCTGGAGCTACTCCTGCTCCATTAGGAACAGGCAGCACCAATTCAGGGATGACAGCCCGTTCATCCTTGAAAAGGGATATTTCGTTTCCTTTCACTTGATCACATTTTTTGTTTATAATGTGTTTTTAAGCTCCTCCTGAATGTTAGACAGTATGGTAGATGTTTTGCAACATTACAGATTAGGCCATAATATTCACATTCCCCGTATTCACCAAATGCTATACCACTTATCCTAGAGAAGGGAAGCACAATCTTGGAACATATTTGATCAGGCAGAACATGTAAGACAAAGTGAGACATTAGGATTATAGGCACATTTAAACATGTGTCAAACAAATTCATTTAAATAATTTAAAACAATGCAGTCTCAAAATAAGATTTCCATGCATTAAAAAAAGGAAATTCACAAGAAGACCTGCACAGCAGTACAGCGTGGGTATTCTGCATATAATTCTCTTTTGAATTATACATTGACAGTGCTTCAAAAAAGTTAAAACCTCTCAATATTCCATACAGGTGAATAATTTCATGGTCCACAGAAAGCACTATACAGAAAGAATAGAAATTTCATTGCTTGGTTGTAATGAAATCTACTACTGATGCTGCTGGCGATCTAAGTGCATAGTGGAGGAAACGGCAAAAATATAGTTCAATAATCTTCCATGTTACATGAAAAACATTTTAAATCAGGCTAGCCAATGGGGAATATCTAAAGTTAGCTTTGATACAAAGTGTCACTACTGTTTAAAGCAGGTTTGACCTTCTATCTTTTCTAAAGATGTCTGCCTTTTTTTTATTTATTTTACCAATAAATACATATAGACCCATTCAGGAACAGTGCTTTAGAACAACAATTTTCTGAAAGGGAGAAACTTTTCCCTTCAGGTCTTAGTAGGGCCAACATTAAAATTAACCAAAGAATAAACAGTGTTTCATATGGTCTTAAAAAAAAGTATTTCCACAGTAAAGTCTTTTCTAAATTCTCCAAACTAATATCTGTTTTGATGCACTGATGGAACTCAGAGTAGATTATCCAGAGTTCATAGGCAATAAGGAGTGAGAAGAAAATAAGGCTGCAATTAAATACTTCTGGGCACTCAAAGGAGAAAGCTAGAAATTTTTTAACATGCTATAGAAAAACACAACAGGAAATCTCTAACCAGCTCATTAATTCAAACAACAAGCACAGTGTTATCGAAGATGAGAAAACTGTATTTCAGACACATAATCTAAAAAGAAACAATAGTAAAATAATTAAATATGGAGTACAAGAATACTGCAGAAATAATCATTAAAAACTATTCTCTTCTAAATTATAAAAAAAAAATTAACTGCCTATGTAACTACAATATAAGCTGCATAGCAGTCTTAAGTTCAAAGTTAACTCTGGAAAGGAAAAAACATTGAAGGTAGGAAGAGTTTCCTATCCATAGACAAGCATAATTCTAGAAATAACAGTTACACCATTATTTTGTTAGCAAAAATGAACAGAGACAGTCCTAAGTCTTTTTTGATCAAAAGGCAGGAGTTTTGGTCTGGTTGGCTTTGGTTTTTTTCAAGGTGGGAGAGAAGAGGAAGAGGGGGGAAAAATAAACAAAATTTAACTAGGACAGCAGAGAAGCTATTAAAGATACAATTTGCACAGTTCTCATTCCTAAGACTACATACTCCAGTATGAAAGGCACAAGGAGTCTTTTCTCATAAACTTAACTTAAAGCAATGAGTTCTTTGTATATATTTTAGCTTTTACATCTTTCTGCCTCCTACCGCCAGAGACTGGAACACCTATAAAGCCATGTACTTTATTCCACCAGTTTGCATTCTCCACGAGATAAAAATGGCAAGGCAACTGAAACTCTTAACGTCAGAACTGAAACACAGTGAAAACTAAACCATAGTCAACATGTGACATGAGTTACCATGAGACTGCTTTTCAGTAGCATTTTACATTTACCAGCCTGAAGATTCTCAGGGAGCCGTGGTAGAAACTCTATTATTATGGCCCCCTTGCACTGTAACAGAGTTTAAAACTGTCTTACGGTAGTGTTTCTTCCCCTACCCTGCTCCATCACAAAGCTCTGTGAAACCACAGCTTCAGAAGTACACCAGCCAAACCCTACTGACAAGCTCTAGCAGCACGTGAGGTGCAAAGCAAGTTACCATATGTACACAGCAACAGTGCTGACAGCATTTGCACAGGGAAAAGTTGTCTCAAAAATCACTTAGCAGACAAGATATGAGTGAATGATGAAGTCTTTTCACATGCCTTTAAATATAAAAAAAGTAACGCAAGCAGTGCCAAAAAGATCTGAGCTACGTTTTTTTATTACTAGTAGTACAAGAACATATGATCACTTATTTCAAAGGTGGTGTCATCAGAGCAATATTCAAATCCCATAGGGATTTAATTTCTAATGAATATTTTTAAACACTGCCACATTGAAGAAGTTACTTGAAAGAAAGCAACTGACACAGGTAGGGCATATCCAAAGTTTTCTTCAACACCCATTATCCCTATGAAAGACAAGAGGAAAGGAGATGCATGCAGTGGGATCAAGACTAAAGGAAAGGACTGTCTCTTAAGGCTATGTCCTAAAAAGCCCATCCGCACACAAACAGAAGAGCACAGAAAGACAGCGGTAGGTGGTGGAATCCAAATACTACATTCACCTGTCTCTTCCCAAACTCATCACAGGAACCATTAAAGGCTTATCTCCACAGGCCCAGATGAAAAGAGGCACAATAGCAGGTGGGAGGAATCCAAATTACTGATTCAGAGGAAGGGACATGCTGTCCAGGCTCCTCCCAAGGCTATCCCAGCAAAGCCTCTGCCATATGGTCCAGGTC